GAAGGATCATTGATAAGCATGATATCAGGACTTTAAAGTGGAAAGCAACACTGAACTAGAGACTAAAAACCTAGATATTCATGAGATCAGAAGTAAACAGAATGAGGAGTAGGGTCAATGTAGAGATTCACGTACAACTGAGGAGAGGTTGATTGGAAATCGCAGGGAAATATTAGTAATGGCAGACATTTTATTGAGTACTTGCTATGTGACAAACAAGAAACTGTGTTTTTAATACAAAAATGATTTTTAAATTTACTATTTAGGAATAATTTTAGATTTACATAAAAGCTGTGAAGATACAGACTTTCTTCCCTTCATCCGTCTTCCTCTAAACTTAACCTCTTACGTAACCGTTGTGCATTGGTAAAGCTAGGAAATTAACTAAACGTGATTCGGCTTTCTGCAGTTGTTCCACTAATGCCTCTTTTCTATTGCAGAATGCAATCCCACATACCCTGTTGTACTTTGTATTTCGTTGTCATGCCTCCTTAGTCTCCTCCGACCTGTGACGTCTCAACATGTTTTTCTTGACCTTAACACTTTAAAGAATACTCCCAGGAATCTTGTGGAATGCCTCTCAATTTGGGTTTCTCTGACATTTTCTGATGAGTAGACTAGGGCTATGTGTGTTTGAGAAAATACCACAGAGCAGAAGTGTGCTGATCATATAGCATCATATCTCTGAGAACACCACGACAGAATTGATGTCCAACTCGATCTCTTGGTTAAAGTGGTGCTTGCCAGATTTCTACAATATAAACATTTTTTCCCCTTTCTCTACTGTATTCAGCAAGAGGCTGAGTTTAGCCCACACTCAAGGGGAGGGGTATTAAGCTCCATCTATTGGAAGGCATAGTTACCTATATTTGTGATTCTCCTGTAAGGAAGGTTTGCCCCCTCTTCCCCATTTATTCATTTCTTCAATCATTTATTCATATCAGGATGGACTCAACGGATATTTTATTCTTTGGGCTGTAATCCAATGCTATTTTTTTTTTGCTCAAATTGTTCGTTTTGGCAACTGGGAACTGTTTTTACATAAATTATGTACTTATTGAATCCCGTGAGGTGCCTATTACTGTTATCCTTATTTTGTAGAAACGGAAACTCAGGCTGAGAGAGTAAGAAACCTTCCCAATGATTCACAGCATGTGTGTGTTGAGGCCAGGTGTCTTCAGAGTCTGTGTGCTTAGCTTTGCTATGCTGCTTAGAGGGAAAGGATGCTCAACGAAAGTCAATCAGAGATAAGGTGTCTTTATTTCACCCTTTTTCAGAGGTGAGATCACAGGTTTTGAGGGGATTCATCATAAAGGTAGTAGTTGCAGAATGGATGAGCTTCCAGAGGGTCAGTATGTAGAGAAAGAAACACACATGGTGGTCAGAACTGAGCCTGTTGCCAGGTGGGAGAGGAGACTAGCTAACAAAGGCAAATGAGGGAATAAACAGGATGCAGGACAACTAGTGTCATAGAACCTAAGGGAGGAAAAAAGTTCATTGAGGGTGCAGGGCCATAGAGAATCAGCCTATGGTAAGACGGAAGTTAAGTGAACATCATCAAAGCAGCGTAATGGGAAGAAAACAAGATTTTAGGAGACCAACATTATTTTAGAGAAAGGAGGCAAAGAAGTAATTTAATAAGAAAAGGGATGCAGAATCAAGTAATTTTTCTGTTTCCTGGGATAGAGGATGACCGGTACGTACGCAGGGGTGCCCACAGGAGAGAGAAAAGACTCTGGAAGAGGGAGACGGAGTAGCTGAGTGTATGAAAACTGGAAAGGAAGGGCGCTTGTTTTTTTATTGAAGTAGAGTTGATTTACAGTGTTGTGTTAATTTCTGCTGTACAGCAAAGTCATTCAGTTAAATATAAAGACACACGTTCTTTTTTACATTCTTATTCATTATGCTTTATCACAGGATACTGAATATAGTTCTCTGTGCTGTATAGTAGGGCCTCGTTGTTTATCCATTCCAAATACATTAGCTTACATCTGCTACCCCCAACTTCTGGATGTAGAGAACAGACTTGTGGTTGCCAAGGGGGAGGGGGTGGGGGAGGGATGGAGGGGCAGGTTGCGGTTAGGGAGAGTGTCCATCTTGGAGGCCGGGGAGCTTCTCCTTCTCCCGTGTTGGAGGTTGTCCTAAGAGCAGAGGACAGTGGTGGTGTTGAGGTAAAAGTACAGACACACTTAGGATGTGCTGTGGGGTTTTGATGGTTTCAGTCGTATTAGTGCAACTGGAAGCATGGTCCTCTGTGGACACTGGGATAAAACTTGAGAGGCATTCCCTAGTCTTGTGAGTAGCTAACATCCCTGGTCAGTGTTTGACAGGCTTGGTGACAAGGGGGCAAGTTGCAGTCATTCATGCTGATGAAGTCATTTGACTGAAAGTAGGGGTCAGAAATATTATCTGGATTTTTCTTGACTCTTCCAGATCAAACAGTTGAAACTGAATATATTGTGCACGTAGGCAAAAGACAGTGTTAGTCTTTCTCAAATATTCAGAATTAATTATGATGCTAATTTGCTCTTTTTATCGACTTGTTGAGAAAAATACCTAATGATTAAGAATAAATGTAAAATTAATGAAAACAACTGTTACTAGAATGAACACTTTTTCCCGGGAACTTTTCTTCAACTCTAACTGCAGAATTCTTGGTGAGTGTTTAATAGTTATGAATTTAACACCAAAGGCTTAACATGCCATTTATATTTGTTAGAGGTGTAAGTTTGGGCAATACCTTTTCTAATCTAAGCATAGAATAGAACATGGGTTGTTTAAATTTTTGTCATAAATATTCTTAAAATATTGGCTATTAAAATGGAATGTTGGATTTTAATCTGAGATATGAAACAAATACCACTAGACTATAACACTGATAATACAAGGTTTAAAACAACATCCATTTCAGAAGCATTTTAACCTATGAAGTTACTTGAAGTGTGTTTTTTCTTTATATTCCTGTCAAGGCCAAAATATCCAGGGGCAGAACTTTGTAAGAAGTTTACGAATTATTGACTTAACCTATCCTTAAATTTTGAAGACTGCTTTCATCTAATATAACACTTTACTATAAGTACTCACTTCCTTTATATGGACCAGAAAGAAGAATTTGCATGTTCATATTATTCATACTTGGTGATTATTTTATTACCATATATATTATTGTGTACAATTTTTTGATAATGAAGGATATTTATTACAAATCATATTTTAAACAGAAATGTATTCATGGCATATGTAAGCATTAACATCTTAAAGGACAGAATACACATGAAAACATCAAATTTAGTAATACTGAAAAACACTAGTTTGTGCATAGCAATGATTGAAAGCTATATAATACACTGGAATACTGGTAAATCTTCAGGTACTGTAGGAACAACCTGGCATAGGAAAAAGATCAAATGAGGCACATCACATCCTCAGAAGTGCACATCATCTAAAAATAAATCCCTCAATACAGCAGTACACAAACCATTCTTCCTTTGTTTGGCACTTAGCAGTACAGACAAAGGTGTATTTGGTTTAATGTGATTTTATTACTCTTAGATAAATTTTAGTTACTTTTATAGATAAAAATATACAATATTGCTTTAAGTTTTTTAAATTTTATAAGTGTATACTTGATTGTCGTTATATTCACAATTTTAAAAGCCTATTTTTTTCCCCCCACTAAACCATTCAGTAACATGTGGAAGAGACTAACAGAAATGGTTTATATGAAGACTTTTAATGAAAGGTTTAAATGTGAAAATGGAATATTAATCTGGATCACTGTCTAAATCTTTAGTGATACTTCATGCTGGAAACAAATTATGAAATGTTTTAGACAAATTTAGTATTTTCAACTCTTAAATTGATTCTACAGGTTCAAAATTTTGTCTGAAAATGCATAAAACTGATGTAGATATTTTGTCTGAAGTCACTTTTATATACATTAATTTACTAAAAAAATGAAAATAAAAAATGTATTTTAATACTACACTTCAGTGTGGGATTCCATCACGTTTTTATATAATACGTGCAAAATGTGTCTATGCCTTTCAGATGTCATATTTAACTAAAAGAAAGGCAGATGGTGGCACTTTTAATTCACCTGAGGATGGTTAAATTAGTAGCCTGATTAATTTGCCTTACTGATAATAGAGGTCATTATATCGTAGAAACAACCAAATATTTGAAGTTAAGAGAACTGCATGATTGTCTTTTTCTTAATACCAACTTTTGAAAGAAGTTGGATTCATTATTTGCTATCTTAAAAAGACACACTGATAAAATATGTTAAGACCCACACAAATTATTTACGTGCATATATAAGGTATGCACTATCTTTAAATGAAAGACAAAATATCTGACAAATAATTTTGTTCATTATAAACTATACCATGCACCATTCTTTTCACTCATACCAATACTTTGCACCAAACATTGCTATATTCAATCTTAACACTCCTCAAATATGAGAAAAACAGTTTCCACTGTACTAAGAAGTGAAATTTATAGTTAACATATTCCAACATCTTAAAGGATCATAGATCTACAACAGTTTTTAAAGAATTTATACATATTGAAATGGGTGCTTTACTTATTAAAGAGCTAAAACTAAAGCTGCTTCTCTTCATTTTAAGTTAAATGCTGTTGCATTTAACAGCAGATTCTTTACACTGCAACATCCAACTATTAAGGTGGAGATTTTACTAAAGCTAAATGGTGGTATATCTCTTACTTCTGAAAACTGTTGAAATTTTAGTGCCGCTGTCTTATTTATATGATAATTAAAAAATAATTTGGAAAGACATCTTCCCTTTCAAAATTTTTCAACATAAGGCACACGGCAGCATTAAAGTCTAGCAACAAGGAGATTAAATAATTAACTTTTCAACCACTTTTTGCCCTTTACCTGAAGAAAGTGGGTGAGTAGCACAGTTAAAACATGCCTGGATTAATAAAAATCACTGAATTTAAGAAACACTGCTAATATTTGTGTGCAGAATGTTATTAATTTTAAAAAGAGAAAGTATATTTTATATAAAACATACTCCTACAGTGTCATGGGTAGAAAACTTTGTGAGGCACTTACATTAGCAAGGAAGGGAGGAGGGCACTGAGATTATCTGTTTATAAAAGCACCAAACCACTCGTTTTAACATCTGAGACAAAAGCAGAAGCTACAAATAAAATGGTTCATATTTGGTACGATAATAAGAATGCTGAAGTTCAAAACTCGAAGTATTTCATTTTAGTCTGACAGAAATAATTCCAACAGAGAAAATGTTCTTATTTAAAAGTGTCATAATGTTCCCCTGAATAAGTTTTGTATATTCTGTGGTATCTCAGAATACTATAAAGTGTCGATTATTTCACTCCTCTGTGGCAGCATACTTTCTATTTTAATGATGGTAATATATGTAATTAACTCCTCTTATAAAATCATTAAAATTTGGTTTGGATAAACAGTGAGAACTACATATACGTCAATGCCTCCACGTGAACTTGCTCACATCCAACAATGATTACTCCCTAATGATGTTTCCCAAACGAATTTAATCAAAAAACCAAGATGAAAAGTGGGCTTGGAATTACAGGAATCCACTGGATGTCAAGTCAGGGGAAAGAAAGGTCTGGCTTCTGACGGGTGAAGATGGGCGGTAGGCTGAGTGTCATTTATGCTGTTTAATTCAGCTGGATAGGTTTCATTTAAGACTCCTCCGTTCTGAAACTGAAAACAAAAATTGCAACGCAACTTATTAGAACAGATCCTCCGTATATCTTAAGCCATTAGATGTACGAAAATGTATTTAAAAAATCTTTAAAAACTCTGGGCTTCCCTGGTGGCGCAGTGGTTGGGAGTCCGCCTGCCGACGCAGGGGACGCGGGTTCGTGCCCCGGTCCGGGAAGATCCCGCATGCCGCAGAGCGACTGGGCCCGTGAGCCACGGCCGCTGAGCCTGCGCGTCCGGAGACTGTGCTCCGCAACGGGAGAGGCCACAACACAACGGGAGAGGCCACAACAGTGAGAGGCCCGCGTACCGCAGGGGGGCAGGGGGGGGGGAAATCTTTGTCCTGCACGTTGTTAAACTTCAAATTCCTTTCCTGCTGTTAAATTTTAAATCATTCATTGATGACATACTGAACATATATTCTGTATTAGTTGTGTTTACAGCCTTTTGATTTCTCTATTACATGGTATGGATGAATAATATCATTGTCTCACTGCAGATTTGGCATTCCATACACTGAGAGAGTACTTGATTAGTGAACTGCCTTTGGTTTGGACAGGAACTGATGGATCAGAGAGTACCAATCGTGAATCACAGTAACTGTTCTCTCTGTCATAAGTAAGTTTGTTTTGACCAGATCTTATCTAAAAGTTCTAGGTACCAATGAATTAATTACATTGAGATCACTACACTGGACTACAGATAACCTAGAACCTTCTCAAAGGAGGTAAGTTTTGATTTGCAAGAGGTTTCTTAACATATTACACCATGGGTATATGATTGCTAGAACCAAGTTTTTTAATTCATAACATGCTAAAATTACTGTCCTAATTATGGAAATAAGTTACCAAAGTAAAATACTTTCTCTTGCTGTGTAACAATGAAATTAGGCTGATTTCCATAACTGCTACTGAAAAAAAGGAGGGAAGACAGAGATACCTAGTTCTGTAGGATTTTTACAGATTAGGGAGCCTTTTGTATTTCAGAATATAGTTAGTGAAAGTAACATTATAATCATACCCTTAACTGCTTTGAATGACATGTACCTTTCTAAAGCCTATGTAACATTAGGTTTCAGTAATCAAAACAGACTGCTTCTAAACTTTGTCCAGTTTTCAAAGGGAATATAGTAAGTGCCCAGAGAATGGTAGGTTTTGAATAAATTACTCTCAACAGTCACAATACAATGCACATCAGCAATTCTCTAAATATAGTGCCTAGAGCAGTGCTGTCCACCAGAATATAATGTGAGCCACAGATGGAATTTTAATTTTCTTTAGTCTTTATAACTCCTAGGGGGAATATATAGGTCTAGAATCCTTATCATTCATAAGGAAGTAATACAAAACAGTGGGGGAAGAAAATACTGTAAGGAACTCATGCTAATGCAGGCCCTGTTCAAAATGTAATTTTACATAATTAACTTGTACAGTAAACTGTACAGAAGTTACCTACCCAGGCTTACCTCACAGCAGTGTTGTGAGATAGACTGTAACCAATTGTTAAATAACTGAAGGAAGTCAGGAATGAGGATAAGAAAAACTTTCACAGCCATTTTCTATGAATAAGCTCATATATAATCAGACAAACCTCATATATAATCAGACAAAACCATGTGTATAAAAAGGGCCAGAGAAAACAATTAGTGAAAAAGATTCAAGTAACATAAACTATTACAATACATAGTCTTATAACCAGGATTCTCTTCAAAACTAAACTTAAATATACGATAAAATGAACTAAATATTTTCTAATGGAAAAGCATAAATGCAAACATGATATATTCCTGGGTGGCCAAAGAGAGCAGCAATCATCAGCAAGCACTTTTTTTAAGTTACCATGATGCTACAAGGGTTAGAATGACACATTTAAACGAAGACAAAACATCCATCCAGCTTGAGTCCCCTGATAGAAAGCCAGCTGAGATACCCCCTTTTTTTTTTTTTTTTTTTAAAGAATGCCAGGGGAAAAAAACTATTCTACCTTAAAGGATACACTGAGGATCTGGCAGGTCACATAGAGGGACTGCCAGAGAACACCAAGGAACCCAAGCACTGAATTCCAGAGATCATCTAGGACAAAAGCATTTGAAGGAAGCACAACTATACTGATTTTAACCCAATTTCAACAGAAATATAACCCAATTTCAACAGAAATAGAGCCAATATTAAATAATAACTTTAAATAGAGTATAATCGATAAAAATATTGTTGAATCACTGTTGTACATCTGAAAGTAATTGTAAATCAATTATATGTCAGCAAAAAAATTGAGCTTTGAAGAAAATATTTTTAAAAATTTAAAAGGCCGTGTTTTTAAAAATCAAGATTATTCTAAATAATATACTTGTAACTAATTTCACGTGGTCATCACTTAAGGCCATGTTGCTTTTTTCCTTGATTTCTTTCTCCTTTCAGGTAACTATGATATACTTGTATTACTAACATAACATACTTAAAAAGTACTGGCTTATTAAAAAAAATAGATAAAATTAAAAATGCTCTTTCACATGAATGCTGCAGATAACAGATTAAAATCAGTCACTGACATAGAAAATTTATAATGTACGAAGAATCATCTAAAGGGTTTATTCAGTTTGATAAAACCCTTACCTTGTTTAAAAATGCCTGCGGGCCTGGCACTGTTGGGTTGTACTGCATCTGAGCCACATGGCTGTGCTGAGCTTCCGGCTGGCACTGGTACATTGACACAGCCCCGGCGTAACATGTCTGAGGAGTTTCTATGGCTGACTGTGGATTGAGTCCGTGCCTTTGGCTTTGAGGAACTTGTAAACATGTGACAAAATCTTCTAAATTAGAAGAAGTTGTAGGGTATGGGGCTGGTTCAAAATCCCCAATGGGAAAGTCTAACTGTGTACCCTTAGAATGTGGCGGCAACACAGACTGACTACAGGGAATAAAGTTCTGTGCGTAAGGCATAGTATCAATCTCAGATTTGTAGGGCAACTCTTGACTGGTCCCAGGTACGTCTGAAAAGACACTGTACTGCTGTAAGTCTTGCTGAGGACAATTAAAAGGCACGGATTGGTTCGAGTTCCAGTTTGCGAACATGCCATCAACTTGCATATGCTGCATTTTCTGACACAGCTGTTGCTGCTGCTCCACTGCTCTGTGCTTCTGATGCTGCTGTAGCTGCTCTTGCTGTTCTAACTGGAGGTGCTCCTGTACCATGCAGCTTGGGTTCAGAGCCATGGACTGTTGCTGATGGTAACCTGAACACCCCAAGGCAGACTTATTTAAAGAGTCTTCGACGTAGGTCAGAATTTCATCTGTTAAGTCAATATCTCTGAAGTCATCGTCACCAGAAAAGTCAGTTCTGAAAAATTCCTCATTCTGTTGCATGTGTTTGATATCTTCAAAATCAATGCCTAGGTGTTTCATAATGCTGTACAAGTCACTATTTCTATTATCTGGAAAGAGCCCTGCGTGATCTCCAGAGAGGGTTGGGTTCATTTCCTGAGACTGGCCAATCTGCTCATGTTTCAGGATATCGTCACTTCCCCCTGGTGCGACACTGTTTTGCCAATTGCTGCACTCATTCTGAGAGTCGTTGAAAAAGTTTCTTTCAAAAGGTGCACTACTTGAAGCAGGATAGAGATAAATAGATTCATCTTGTTGCATCATGGCATTCAGGAGGGAACTGGGATTGAGGGAGTCCTTACTTAGAGTTGACTTGGTAGCAGAATCTTTTCCACCAGCACCATTTTTAGTCCTTATTGGCAAGGGATCCATTATGGGACGAAAAGGGTTGGTTACCTCATATAAAACAGCTTCTCCAGTGGTAAACATAAAAGGCAACTTCATATTTCGTTTTCGTAAATGCTCTGTTCCTTCTTCATCTCTAAAATTGTGCACGAGAAAGTTTGCGTATGTTAAGGAGAGCCGCATCATAAACATCTCAAAATAAGAAATTTTAGAAAAGAAAAAAATAATAGCAAGCAAAATACACTGTAGTTGAGTTTCAGAGCAGGGAACATGAACTTTGAGAGAACTCTTTCTGATGATAAGTACTTAAAATTGTTTTCCAGACAAATTTCATTTAGAATTTGTCCAAAAACTTAATAATACAGTCATTAATTTCACACTCAGGTTCCATCCCTACCTGAAAAATGGATTACAAGTGGAATAAAGATCCAAATGTAAAAATGAGGCTTGTTGAAATAAAATATAAAACCCAGAAGCCCTAAAGGAAGACTGACATATGAAAATTAAAAATTTTTGCATGGGGAAGGAATTCATAAATCAAGGCATGGAGAAAATGTCATAGTTATAGGTTCATATGTACGACACAGAGTACATATATATGTAAAATTTAATATCCATATTAGGTAAAGAGCTCCAATGGATCTCATAACCTCTTAATAACTAATAGAACAAGCAAACAAAAATATCAAATGTATAAAAACATTCTTCCATTCTTATAAACACATCTTCCCATGGGAATTGACAACTGATTTCGAAACTTTATATAGAAATGTAAAGAGCCAAGATTATCTTGAAAGAGAACAAAAATTCTGAACAAACGAGATGGCGGGCATACATCAAGATATCAAGGCACATTAAGGTACAGAATAGTTAAGACAATGTGCTTTGGTCTAAAAATAGACAACCAGACCAACGGAACCCCAGATACAATCCCCCGATTGAAATGCAGTGCAGTGGGGAAAAGATGGTCTTTTCAAAAAACCATCTTTCCAATAAATGTTACTAGTCAGCTAGATACCCATATAAGGGAAGAGAATAATCTTGATCCTCACCCTCAAAACCACATACAAAAATCATTTCTCCAGACTGGAGAAAACATTTGCAATACAAATATTTGACAAACTACTCACTCACTTCGAGAATATATGAGAAACTTAAAAATCACTGCCTGCTTATTAGCAAACAAACACGCTAAACAAAGCACTGTTATGTTTTTATTTTATTTGACAGATGGCGCTGGCTTTTCATCTTTCCTTCATATACCCAGGATAAACCCTTGGAGTTTTCTTCGATTATTCTCTTTCTGTAGCTCTACATACACAGTTGTTCAAGAAAGTCTGTTAACTCTGTTTCCTCAATGTCCTTACCCTATGCCTTCTTCTTTCTGTACATATTACCTTTCAATTTTTATTTCCAGGGTAAATTCTCTTAAGAGTTATTTTTAGGTTTTCATGAAGGAGAATTTATAAAGCAAAGTGTTATTAAAATAAAAAACCAAAACATGAAATGTTCTAGGTCTTTGTGCTTACGTTAGAGGTCTCTGAGTTGCAATGATATAATCTGGTCTTCCATTCTTATAAACTAAGCGTGCATTCGACTGCACCCAAGTCCATCGATTGTCTTTCGTAAGAAGCCTGAACACTATCATGCCACTCTCTCCAGTCTTAATCACTAAAACAAAAAAGAATTAAATTATCAAATCCAAAATCAACACAATAATCTCTGTAATACTTCTAGATGTAATTCACATATCACCAAAGATGATAAAAAATATTGACTTTTAAGCACAGTATATTAAAATGTATCAAAATACTTCTTCAGCATTGCTATTTTTTTCCTGTTTCATACTAAACTTATTATTTAATTGGCTCAAGGAAAGATTAAGTCAGACAATTCTCGTAACACGTGAAAAGAGTATAGAGTTTGGAGGGAAAATTGTTTTCGTTTTAAAAAAAAAAGGGAACATTTCCTACAGCCTAATATTTTACTATACAATTTTAAAGCATAATCTCTATTAACATAAATTTTAGAATTAAAAATGATGCCACTAAAAAAACTCCTGAGCAAAAACGTGGGCAAAACGGTCATTTTCAGAGTAATTAAACTACTTAATTCCTGTGTGGCAGCTAATGACTAGAGAGTGTAACTCAGGCTAATCATAATTGTGTGATACTAAGGAGAAGTTTATCCAGTTTCCTTAAGCACATTACATTAGTAATAATTTGAAACACGTACTAGAGCGTAAGCTGCTTTCACAGCCAAGCTCATAAGAAACTACAACTTACTCCGGATATGGTACTCAGCACAGTAAAGCATATCAGCAGCATGAATAAATTGATATCCTGATCCTCTCATGCACAGCTCTGCTTCAGTATAGCCTAAAACAATTCTTCCTCTGTTTAAAAAAAAGGCAAAATAAGAATGAAATTAAAATTTAACAAAAATGAAGTAGCCAACATCAATTCATTAGTTATGTGCTACTTTCTGTACTATGTTGACATTCAGAATTTCACACTAGCAGGTAGAAACACACACAATTCTGTAACTGCTCTCTTTTGCTTATGGTTGCAAATTTCACTTTTAGACTATTTTCTTCTCCTGAATAAAGACCATGAAAATTATTGCTAAAGATCAGTCTAACGGAGTAGATTATACAGGTGAAACACAAAATCTCTAATTAAATTCTAGAATACTTATACCACATTTTGAGGGGCAGGGTTTCTCCAACCTGTCTGCATTCCTGTTATTAGGAAGGAGAAAAGTAGCAACATGCTTTGGTTACTAAACTTCTAGGGCTAAAAGTCAAAGTTTGTATAATTTAAAAATGTAAAACAAGCCAACAATAAATGTCATCAGGATACCGAATCTTATATAAACACATCATCTGTATAATATAGAAACTGTGTCAAATACTGTAAAATAATAAAAAGATTTGTGAACGTGATGAAATTTTATTATAAAAGGCTATGCTGTAAAGTATGAAATAATAGCTACTACAATAAACAATACTATAATCAACACCATAGGGAAAATATATACATGCTAAGACACACTTACTGCAACAAAATATACATTTGGTAAAATAAACCTGAAAAGGTTTCACTTACTTGGCATCACAACCAGTAGGTGTAAAGTCTAACTTGTGTTTGGTTCTAAAGATGAAATTTTTGGTTCGGATTTCAAGTATGGATGGTGGCTGCAGTGGAGTAGCTATTGCAAACAAAGCCAACTGAGGTGGAAGTATTGATCCATCGTTCCCTTTCTTGTTCTGTCCGTGAAGATACTTCAACCTCCCTTGGAAATTCATTGCCTTAAAAAACCAAAAAACAGTTCATTAAGATTAACGCTTTAAATGGTTCCTTTTTAAAAGGCTCCATCAAGGCCATTTCCAGTGTTCTTGATAATTCCATAAAAGTTCATGAGGCTATCAAATGTGACTTGAATTCCTTTCTCCCCAGAAAGCCCATTAAAAATATCCTAAAAGGTAGTATGAGGGCTATCCTCAAGGGATTCGTAAGTGAACCACTCAGTGCTTTAATAGGTCACAAAAGGAAGACCTAATGGTTTTCTGACCTTGCGGCTGCCCTACCATCCACGCCTAGCACGGGTCCGTGCACACTCAAACTCTATTTCCTAAATGAATGAACAGTGATAAAGCCATCAGGTACATATTAATTTTCAGATATAGTCTGTGGACTAGTCCACAGCTCAGAGTATATTCAAAATTCATGGGAATCTTTTATAGAGAGAGAAAACAACTGTTTAAAAACACTAAAATGAATCATAAAACCATACAAAGAACACAGAACTCTATTAAAGACAGAGGAAACAGAGACAATTTAATCACGATCATGATCAATCTGGTTGCTTAAAACAGTACCAGGCCAAGGGATGATTCTGACATCAATATGAGAGCAGCACAAGGGAGAAAAGGCCCAATTGTTACACAAAGAAATTCCACCTAGGCATACATACTAACTGATCATCAATACTAGCAAACTAGCTCAAAGCACAATTCTAATTCTGGGTCAGCACAACTATCTTCAGGAATAAATACACCAACAAAAATCATCGTTTGCTAATAGATTTGATCATCTGTTTCCAATTCCTGATAAGTCACAAAAGTAATATGCAACATGCTTTGTCTCTTCTTCTGTACCTGGTGGAGTGCACAATCTTCAGGACACAGGCACCTGACAGGCCGGGCCGTCTCTACTCTTAGCGTCCTGCCTACGCTGCTCCCTGGCCATCCTACTCAGGAGTTCACACTGCTCAAGAGCATTTCATACTAGAGGAGGATCCTGCAATCATGAAGACACAACCACTTTTTTACACGGCAGTTATTCCAGCCATGCGGAAAAGGCCGTGATAATTTTTCCATTTGGCAGGCATTAAATCCAAGGAGGGTAAGCAGTCTGCTGCCAAAGAAGTGCTATATAATTCTCTATCTTATACCTAAAAAGTCCAAAAAAAGGGGAAAGGTAGAGAGTTCCCTGTTATTCCACTAGTCTTTGTTACTGCATCCTAAAGGATAGAGATTTTGAGTTATGGAAGATATTTTTCAAACTTTAGAAAGATTTTAAAAAGTTACTGTCCTTTATAAAATTATTTAATAAAGTAGATTTTTATAACCCAAACCCAAATACATTCAAATTAAATTGGTTTCACTTTTCTTTTTAATTTTCTAAAACTTCATAGTAAATGTCAGTAAAAGATTTTGCACCTTACCAGAAAACCAGATGAATTATCCAGCAGACACCTTAGTCGGCAAACGAAGCACCTTTCCATAGACGACGAGTTCTCTGGAGGAACCTGGTCTGGGTTATAATAGACTGCTGGCTGTGAGAGGCCATTAGCTTCTGTAGAAATCATAGCAACACAAAGTTACTTTCCATTTTGCTGTAAAATTAAGTGTTTGAATAGCTGAAATTTGTGTTAATTTCTAAACCGAAGTCTGTATTTGGATTACAAAAGAAAAATCGCTTTCAGAAGGGGAGCTAGTGAAAAGAAATGAAAACTTATTGAATAACATTTTCACTTCATAGAACTTTACCTATTTGGCTGTTTTTATTTCTATTGAGCTATCCTGTCAACACTTTCTATGTTTTCTAAGCCTTTTTTTCTTTTTAACATTTTCACAGGTGTGTGAAAACACTGCTTGCATTGAAAGAAGGTTTTTTTATCCTTGCATATGCTAGTCTGCTTTTATATTTGGTGCATTTTAAACACAGAACAATTTATACACACTCCAGAATCAACCTTGTACATTCCTTCCCCCTTTTCACAATAGTGTAAGAGTTCTTTTTATACAATATATTAGTGAGTATATGGCTATACTTTGTCACGTGAAATTCATCAATGGCTGTCATCTGTCAAAATCCTCCTTAGGTCACCAGGCTCCCTGTGACCTGGCTCTGGCCCACAGCCAGACATTCATGTCTTTCCCCTTCTTCCCAACCTTCACCATGGAGTTCTATGCCCCTAAAGGTTCTCTGCCTTCTTTCACAGAATTATATCAAAAAATCCCCAACACTATCTTTTGGTAAACATTCTTACCATCCATTTTTTGTCCAGAGTCTGGACACTGTGAAGGGTTTAATGCCCAGTGCAGCTGGCGCTGAAATTCAGCTCGGTCTTCAGTATGGATCAGTTCATACACACTCTGATGGATGACATCAGACTAAAGAAAAAAAGTACAAGGAAATTCACAAGAAGTACTGATTTTTTTAAAAATGTGGCTTACTAATTTCAAAACCTTGCTAGATCAGTGGGTGCTTGTTAGTGGTGATGAACGCAAATGAAATGACTGCAAAGCTCTCCAGGAAACCAATATAGGAAAAGCTAGAAAGAGACTAGCACTGTAATTGACAAGTCAAAAGTTATTTGCCATCACTTCCCTGTGTGAATGCTTTTCAGTCAAATAAGTCACCTTCCCACTCCTTAACTGCAGCACATTCAGTTCTGCTGATTTTTATCTACTTACTGATCTTTTAAAATCCTCCTTCTTCCACATAACCTTGTCTGAACATCCAGCTGCATTTGACTTCTCTAAGCTTGATAGTATTATGTATTTCCTTCATTGCTCTCTAATAATTTTCCTTATATGAAATTTTTACTTCTAGTAGATTCCATAAGAGTAAGGGATTATGTCATTACCAGGTCAGAATCCCTCCTTCACCTCTTGCTTCTCAGCATTTACTACAGTGCTGAGCCCTTAGCCCTTCCACCAGAATTGCTCTAACTTTTTTTATTGCAACTCATGGCAAGAAATACATTTTCTATCCATCGTGTGTGTGTGTGTGTGTGTGTGTGTGTGTGTGTGTGTGTCTGTGTATACACACGTGGAAAAAAGTTTCACAGAACACTTATGTGTAACAATATTTTTTAAATTTATTTTTATTGGAGTATAGTTGCTTTACAATGTCCTGTTAGCTTCTACTGTACAGCAAAATGAATCGGCCATATATATATATATATATATATATATATATATATATATATATATATATATATATATATATACACACACACACACATATCCCCTCTCTTTTGTATTTCCCTCCCGTTTAGGTCACCACAGTGCATTAAGTAGAGTTCTCTGTGCTATACAGTATGTTCCCATCAGCTGTCTGTTTTATACATAGTATCAATAGTGTATATGTGTCAATCGCAATCTCCCAATTCCTCCCACCCCACCCCTTTCCCCGTTGGTATCCATATATTTGTGCTCTATGTCTGTCTCTATTTCTGCGTGGCAAATAAGGTCATCTCTTTCATTTTTCTAGATTCCACATATGTGTGACAATATTGTGTTTTCTATTTTATTTCATTTTAAGCCAACTAAAAGGAATGATTGATGGTGATCCACTATATCAATTTCATAACCCACAAATGAGTCACAAGAAGCAGTTTTAAACATGGTGCCATAGGGCTTCCCTGGTGGCGCAGTGGTTGAGAGTCCGCCTGCCGGTGCAGGGGACACGGGTTCGTGCCCCGGTCCGGGAAGATCCCACATGCCGCGGAGCGGCTGGGCCCGTGAGCCATGGCCGCTGAGCCTGCGCGTCCGGAGCCTGTGCTCCGCAACGGGAGAGGCCACAACAGCGAGAGGCCCGCGTACCACAAAAAAATAAATAAATAAATAAATAAATAAATAAATAAATAAAAATGGTGCCATAAACCACCACCAATGTCAGATATGAATGTTTTCTTAAAGAATATCCAGGTTATATGTATATATGAAGAAAAAACCGATTGGGAAACAGCTAATCTTTCTGATTTCTTAACTGTTATGAATCACATCAAATAATAATTAAACTAGTTATGTAATTAAGGTGCAAACAGGCTTTTCCATGGACATTAGTATATTTTCTTTAAAATTCAAAAATACTTAAGTTAGGCTTTGTGTCAGTAGCCAGATTCCACCACTTTAGCTGTCTGGACTTAAATCTTCCTACAAACTTTATCTTCTAGCATGAAGTCATCTCTATGCCATCCATTACACAATGCCAGAGTTATCTTCTGAAGTATAGATTGGAGCATACACGTTCCCTTTAACAAAAACATTTAGTGGCTTCTATAGTGTGTATGACATAATTTAAGCTTCAGTCTATATAACAGTGCAGGCGGTGCCATTCAACCATCAGTCTTGGCATCACCTGGGAGCTTGTTAGAAATGAAATACATGGGCCCCACTCTGATGTACTGAATCAGATTATATGGGAAGGAGGCCCATCAATTTTATGACATCTTATGAAGTTCTTCAGGTGATTCTTAGGCACATTAGAATTTAAGAACTACTGATACATAAGAGTAGTTAGCATTCAAGTGTACTTACAAACTTCTCAAATCATATTGGACGTTCTTGCCCCTCAAATATGCTGAACACCTTATTACTGCATTTATTCACTATACACTCAGTAACATTAAACCAAACACGCTCACCTCCTTCAGGGCCTTCCAACCTACTGTCTACAGTACGTCTAGCTTTTCTTCTCTGTGTTCCCTCCACAATGGTCCACCCATCCGGATGCTACACTTTCTTTAGGTTAGCTTAAGTACCATTTCCTTCAGCAAAGCTTCCATAATCCATACAAGTTGGAATTAAAGGGAGAAGCCATAGTATTTTGCTCATACCTTTACATATCACCTCATTCATTTCATAGTTGTCATATACCTTCCAGCATCCATAACTAATTTGATGGTAAATATTCTCTTGTCTGCCCCTGACCCTAAAGTTTCGTATATATATGAGTTCTTTATAAGTGAAAGAAGAAACACAAAATCCATGAATCACATATACCCTTAAGGAAATTATAATGCAGATTTTTAAAAGTATAAAAATATATTAGCTGCAAACATATACTTTTTTACTCTATAGCATATGTATTTTAATTACATTCTATATATACAAACTATCACTTGTGTCCCTAAGTATAAGATAAATTAAAAGTAGAAAATTAATTTTCCAAAAAAATTTTTTAAAGACCTAAGAAAAATATATTTACCTGCTGAAACCCCAGGTAATCTTGTATAGTAGAAGAAGCATAAAAGACCAAAGCATCTGTAGTGACAACCAGTACAAAGCCATTCAGTGCCTACAAGGAAAAAAGTTACAAAATTAGTAATGTGACTAAATAAAAATATTATCATCCATAAATACTGACTTCAGTTAAGGCTGTTACTTTTATTGATGAAAAAAATCTTTAAAACAGTTAATATTATTACACTCCACAAATGCAGAAACACCACACACTCCAGTAGTGAGAAGAATCTATTCACACCTTTTGATTCTGCCAAAGAAAAGCTTAGAAGTAATTTAATACTCAATCACAGTAACTTTAATATTTCTTTTTCCTCATGCTTTACATTTTGTTTCAAATATACTGTACATGTTTTTTAAATATAATTGTATACACGTCATTTACTGTAATCTGTCACACTGCTTTTAAAGGAAGATGGTGTGTAAAGATGTTTATTAGAACTGTAAAAATATACGATAGAAGAAAAGCTCTGTGCAAAGATAGTTTAAGCACTGACACAGTTTGAAATGTGGATGCTCTCAAAGTATTATAAAACTTTTAAAAACTTTTTATTAGAAAAGGAATACACAAATGGACTCTACATAAAATACACATGTAGAACAAACACATGTAAGACAAGTACACAGCAAATATAGTCCATTTAAATTTAATATAATTACTAATATATTTAGGTTTAAAGCTATCATTTTATAGGTGTTATTTTTATCTGTTCCACTTACAATATGCTGCTCTTTCCTTCCATTTTGCCTGCTTTGGGCCAATTATTTCTTATTACTCCTTCTTCTTTCTTTCAGTTTAGAGGTTATCCTCTCTTTTCCTATTCTTTTAGTGGTGGTTCAAGTCCAATGTTAAGATCTCTATAGTCTAAGGTAATAAAAGTATTTAGATCAACTTAAACATTAATTGTGATCACATATTTTAATCCTAAAGCCCTCCTTATTTCCTGCTTGAGTTTAATTCAGTACTTGTTTTACTCTGTGCTATGTGGTCATTGTTAAACCCTCCTGAGACATTCTTCTTCATGTAAAATGAGACGTGGAATGGTTTAGTTTAAGAACCACATAGTTTGGAGTCAGAATTTGGACTGGATTCTTCTGTTTCTTACTAACTGCGTGGTTTTATTAAGTTATTTACCCCTTTAAGCTTTAGTGTCATTGTTTGAAAAACAGGCACTGTACAGAGCTGGCACTCAATTCATGTAAGGCACCGTTACTATAAGATGAGGTTGTGGAAATGAGCAGATAAAGATTTACATGATCATGCTTTGTGAACTATAGAGATATATAAACGACAGCAAGTCGTTCATTCAACACTTAATGAAATACTGCATACCAAAGAGGACGCATGCTAAGTACTGAGATTCAAAACGGAAGAAGCTACTGCGCCTGTGCTTATGATGCTCACACAGCCTTGTAGATACCCTCAGTGTTAGATGAGGTAAAAGAAACACGGTGACTGTCTTCCTTTTCCCTCAAAGTCCTTTCACCTTCAAGATCCCTGGCCTAGATTATACTTCTGAGAACTTAATTATGCAGACAACAAACAGCACCTACTATTTAACAGCCACTTTTCTAAATGCTTTTTTTTTAATGTATTCAAGTTCTTTAATTCCCTCAGCAATCCACTGAAGTAGGTGTCATATTCCAGTTTTTAAATCGAGGAAACTGAGGTAAAGAGCTGCACAGTAACTTGCCCACGGCCATACAGCTAGGAAAAAGCTGAGCCAGAAGGTAAACTCTTGTCTAGCTCTAAAGCCTGCACACTTAACGTTATATCATGATCTACTGCTTTTATGTGTTACTGATCACCAATTGTTGCATGCCTATAACTCATGTAATCACAACGGGGATCTAAGATCCTTGACTTTAGATATTATGCCTTATAAAACCTGGCAATTTCCCCAGGAAGAAAAATGGCGATGGCACCCACCAAGAACTTAAATGTTTAATGATTAAGACCCCCAAAATTGAGTATTCTTAAGTTTTAGCTGGCAGTAATAGTATATATCCATTACTGCATTTTTTTATCTTGCACATGTCTTCCTTCTAGAAAATAGTATCCATTGATCATATGCATATTATTTTGTAGAATATCATGTTTTTCGAACAGTGGAACAAATATAGTACTGTACAATAAGCTCATTAGTGCATGCCAGGTGACACAAAGATAATTTAGGGTATGACAGACAAACACTTTTAGACAAACGTTAATTGTCAGAAATAAAACAAAAAGCCCCTTAAAAGAATATATACATACCAATTATATGGATATTAAATGATCTTAAATACCATGTGGAGCAAGGTTATTACTTGTACTGAATTATCATCTTACTAAATTAAAAGAAGGAACTAATTTGGTAATTACATATTAATAAAAGAGATTATTATTCTTTGGTCTAAGTCACAACTGTCTCTATCTGAAAATCATGTTGAGCTTCACTTACTATTTAATAAGAGAAATAAACTGCAATTAGTACTGTTATTTATAATTTCAACTGCTGTTATCCCAAAAATGAAGCTACAGATTTTAATAAGCACAGTATTAAGTAGCAATGGATAGAACATATTTAAATATATGAAAATAAACAACTAAAACAAATAACAGATAATGAAACGATACAAAAAGTTATTTTATCGTTTTATTTTTATTCCTCATAAAACAGTAACAAATTTAAGCTAATCAAGAAAATAAATATTTAAAACTTTCATGAAACATCCTGTAACATTTTCTTCATATGCCTCCTTTGTTAAAACCAAAGGAAAAGATTTCGTTTCAAAAGTTTCAAGCCAAATGGTATACTGTACCTCTGGAAACATCCTCTGCCTCTAAGTGGTAACTAGGTGATAACCCCACGTTGGAAATATAAAGTAAGATGCCATTATGGCAACTGTGTATAATGAAATATGCCATTTTCACATGTCTACAATGTGCTCATCTGCTTCATAAGAGGTAAGAGGTATGGCCCTAAGGAAACTGTATAGTGTCTGATGATTCCTACTAGAGAGGAAGCATCACATACTACACAAATGGCATCCAACAGAATTAATGACAAGACCATTTATTTTAAACACCTAAATACTTCCAATCTTCAGAAAATTAAAAAGTTAACACTGGTTTTGCAACAGTATATTTTTATTCTGGGTCCTTGACATAGGATATGTTTACAATTTGCCTAAACATTCTAGAGGAAAAATAAAAATCACAGGCCCAGATATCACTGATGAACATAGGTGAGAAAATCTTCAACAAAATACTAGCAAACAGAATCCAACAGCACATTAAAAGGATCATACACTATGATCAAGTGGGATTTATCCCAGGAGTGCAAGGATTCTTCAGTATATGCAAATCAATGAATGTGATAAACCATATTAACAAACTGAAGGATAAAAACCATATGATCATCTCAATAGATGCAGAAAAAGCTTTCGACAAAATTCAACACCCATTTATGATAAAAACCCTCCAGAAAGTAGGCACAGAAGGAACTTACCTCAACATAATAAAGGCCATATATGATAAACCCACAGCCAACATCATTCTCAATGCTGAAAAGCTGAAACCATTTCCACTAAGATCAGGAACAAGACAAGGTTGCCCACTCTCACCACTCTTATTCAACATAGTTTTGGAAGTTTTAGCCACAGCAATCAGACAAGAAATATAAAAGGAATCCCAATTGGAAAAGAAGAAGTAAAACTGTCACTGTTTGCAGATGACATGATACTATACATAGAGAATCCTAAAGATGCTGCTAGAGCTAATCAATGAATTTGGTAAAATAGCAGGATACAAAATTAATGTACAGAAATCTCTTGCATTCCTATACACTAATGCTGAAAAATCCGAAAGAGAAATTAAGGAAACACTCCCATTTACCACTGCAACAAAAAGAATAAAATACCTAGGAATAAACCTACCTAAGGAGACAAAGGACCTGTATGCAGAAAACTATAAGATACTGATGAAAGAAATTAAAAATGATATAAACAGATGGAGAGATATACCATGTGCTTGGATTGGAAGAATCAACATTGTGAAAATGACTATACTACCCAAAGCAATCTACAGATTCAATGTAATTCCTATCAAACTACCAATGGCATTTTTCACAGAATTAGAACAAAAAATTTCACAATTTGTATGGAAACACAAAAGACCCCAAATAGCCAAAGCAATACTGAGAAAGCAAAATGGAGCTGGAGGAATCAGGCTCCCAGACTTCAGACTATATTACAAAGCTACAGTCATCAAGACAGTATGGTACTGGCACAAAAACAGAAATATAGATCAATGGAACAGGATAGAAAGCCCAGAAATGAACCCACACACATATGGTCACCTTATCTTTGATAAAGGAGGCAGGAATGTACATTGGAGAAAGGACAGCCTCTTCAATAAGTGGTGCTGGGAAAACTGGACAAGTACATGTAAAAATATGAGATTAGATCACTCCCTAACACCATACACAAAAATAAGCTCAAAATGGATTAAAGACCTAAATGTAAGGCCAGAAACTATCAAACTCTTAGAGGAAAACATAGGCAGGACACTCTATGACGTAAATCACAGCAAGATCCTTTTTGACCCACCTGCTAGAGAAATGGAAATAAAAAACAAAAATAAACAAATGGGAGCTAATGAAACGTAAAGCTTTTGCACAGCAAAGGAAACCATAAACAAGAGGAAAGACACCCCTCAGAATGGGAGAAAATATTTGCAAACGAGGCAACTGACAAAGGATTAATCTCCAAAATTTACAAGCAGCTCATGCAGCTCAATATCAAAAAAAACAAACAACCCAATCCAAAAATGGGCAGAAAACCTAAATAGACATTTCTCCAAAGAATATATACAGAATGCCAACAAACCCATGAAAGGATGCTCAACATCACTAATCATTAGAGAAATGCAAATCAAAACTACAATGAGATCTCATCTCACACCGGTCAGAATGGCCATCGTCAAAAAACCTACAAACAATAAATGCTGGAGAGGGTTTGGAGAAAAGGGAACCCTCTTGCACTGCTGGTGGGAATGTAAATTGATACAGCCACTATGGAGAACAGTATGGAGGTTCCTTAGAAAACTAAAAATAGAACTACTGTATGACCCAGCACTCCCACTCCTGGGCATATACCCTGAGAAAACCATAATTCAAAAAGAGTCACGTACCACAATGTTCATTGCAGCACTATTTTCAATAGCCAGGACATGGAAGCAACCGAAGTGTCCATCAACAGATGAATGGATAAAGAACATGTGGCATATATATACCATGGAATATTACTCAGCCATAAAAAGAAACGAAATTGAGTTATTTCCAGTGAGGTGGATGGACCTAGAGACTGTCATCCAGAATGAAGTAAGTCAGAAAGAGGAAAACAAATATCGTACGCTAACACATATATATGGAATCCAAAAAGAAAAAAAATGGTTCTGAAGAACACAGGGGCAGGACAGGAATAAAGACACAGACGTGGAGAATGGACTTGAGGACATGGGGAGGGGGAAGGGTAAGCTGGGATGAAGTGAGAGTGGCAATGGACATACATACACTACCAAATGTAAAATAGATAGCTAGTGGGAAGCAGCTGCATAGCACAGGGAGATCAGCTCGGTGCTTTGTGACCATCTAGAGTTGTGGAATAGTGAGCGTGGGAGGGAGACGCACGGAAGAAGGGATATGGGGATATATGTATACATATAGCTGATTCACGTTGTTATACAGCGGAAACTAACACACCATTGTAAAGCAATTATACTCCAATAAAGATGTTAAAAAAATAATCACTGGCCCATAATTTAAAGCTGTTTAACAAGTGTTAAGCATGCCACATTTGTCTATTTTCACTTGAGATAAAGAACTTCCTTATTACTTTACTACAAAAACTAAGATGCATGTTTAATCACATTCAGCAGCAATTATTAGAATGCTTCCTGTGACCTGAATAAGGGGTCTTTACGTTTCAGCTAATATACATAAAAATCCTCAGCTAGCGGCAGGAGGAGGAGGACTCATGGTTGCATATATTTAATTTTTTCTAACATAATGGAAGCAAAAGTTAATTTTCGGTATCAGGGATTTGAACACAATTACAAAATTATAAGAAAATCTCATAAATTGTTAGGTTACACTTAAGCATTTACTGAATGAATGGAGTTACTGAAACTTACAGCTACTTTTTGTCACAATGGCAAATTAAGTTCTCCACTCAGTTCACTGGGTAGAATTGAAAATTATTATGTAATAGTAATAGCACAGATTATAGCACACATCTTTTCTGTTTTGTTTTATTTTATTTAACTAGTTTCTTTTTTTTTTTTTTTACCATTTTTTTAATTGAAGTATAGTTAATTTACAGTGTTGAGTTTGCTTCGGGTGTACAGCAAAGTGATGCAGTTATACACATATATATATCCTTTATAGCACACATCTTCATTCTATCTTTCTTTAATAAGATAAATACCTGAGAATTTTAACTGAGAATCGAGAATTGTATCAGATCCAAAAGAAAGAAAAATTGGAAAAGATTTTAAATACTTTTATAGACAAATCTACTAGAAACTCTCCAAGTTCTAGCGCATGACAATAGGGCTGACGGTTGTTGAAAAAAATCTGTAGCAAGTTGATAAGTCACACACAGCTGCTAAAAGAAAATATAGTTATAAGAACACATTGAAAAAGAGAAAGTTCAGGTTAAGAACAATTTCAAACTATTTAACAAATAAAATTATTTTAATGGAGCTATATTCCTCAAAACATATACGTAAATCCAATGTCTTAAATGAGAACCTTTAAAATAATCTAGTAGTTCTTGCTATTTAAAGACATGCAACACGGAAAGTGATAACTAGACTTCTAATAAATATGCTTCATAAAATTCCATTTTTTCATGTACAATACTAACATTACACCACTATTGTACTTCAGATGAAAGTGGTATGAAACACTGGGTGAGTCCTAAATAAACTGGGGATAATTAAAAGGCTGTTAATTAATTCTCCATTTATAACTGTCCTAATGAAAATGAACTACATTTACTACAATTTACCTGCAGTAAGAATTCTCCTTCCTGCAAGTTCAGGCCTTCTCTGAATTTTGTTCTACAGTTGTCCTGGACTCCATTTCTGTCAGCTGGGGTGGACTTTAATGCAACTATGAAAAAAAGGGAAAAACAATGATATAGTATAGGTGGTTTTTAAAATAAGCAGTTTTAAAGAGCTATAATAAAAATCCTCTGTACACCAAACACAGAGATAATTTGAAAAATTGGTATCTACTGGTACTACAGTAACTAAGTGAACAATCCTTTGCCAATGGGTGGTTTCCAGTCAGCTGACAGATTCTGGTTTTTTTTTTTTTTTTTTGGCTGCATTGGGTCTTGGTTGCTGCGCGGGCTTTCTCTAGTTGCGGCGAGCGGGGGCTACTCTTCGTTGGTGTGCGGGCTTCTCATTGCAGTGGTTTCTCTCGTTGCTGAGCACAGGATCTAAGCGCGGGCTTCAGCAGTTGTGGCTCGCAGGCTCTAGGGCGCAGGCTCAGTAGTTGTGGCGCACAGGCTTAGCTGCTCCGCGGCATACGGGATCTTCCCGGACCAGAGATGGAACCCGTGTCCCCTGCGTTGGCAGGCAGATTCTTAACCACTGCTCCCACAGGGAAGTCCCTGACAGACTCTTAAAGATAACTTTTGATAAGTGCACTATATGATTTTTGGCATATTACTTAAGGAGTTGCAAAGAATTGCCATGACATTGCTATAAACACTCCTCCAGTTCTTATCTATTTCGGAGAATAAGGTTCCTGACAACCTAACCTATAAAAATATTTTTATTATGTCTCTACATATTTATCTTAACATCTGTGAACTACTGGGTGGTGAGAAGAATCAACCAAATGCCTTATTAAGAAATATATGTCCACTGAGGTTAGGATCCTCTTGTCTAGTTTTAAGGTAAAAAAACCATTAGTAGTATTATTAAGTTCATATTAAATTTATAGATCAATTCATGTCTTTATGATGTTGAATCAATCTGAGAACATGTATGTTTTCCCATTTGTTCAAGTTTGTATTTTTTGTCCCACTAGAATGTTTTGAAGTTTTCCACAAAAAAGTATTTTTATGTCTATTCCTAGGTATTACACCTTGTAATGTGGCTTCTCTTTTATTATCATCTTCTAGTTGCTTATGGATTGCATATGTGAATGAATGGCGGGATGCTTACTATACAGAATGGTGGGATGCTTACTATAGAGGGTAGCACGCTGTAATGCTGCATCTCCCCACCTTCCCATCTCTCTCCACATCGTGTGTGTGTGCATGCATTTACAATCTGGGAGGCAGCACAGCTGAATAGAAATAATAATTGCTACCATTTACTTATTTAGCATTTTTCCAAGCACTCTCAAATGTTTTCTCAGTTAAAACATGTGGATGGACATTGGTGTCTGACAGAGCTGAGTTCAAATCTCAGCTCTGCCTTTTCCTAAATGTGTGAGCTTTCTGAGCCTGTCTCCTAATATGTAAAGTGGTAATTGAAAAAGCAAACAAACAAACAAAAACACCCTGCAGGGCCGTTGTGAAGAATAATTAGAATATATGTGAAGTTCCTGACATAGATCAGCTCAATATTACTTGGTAGCTTTAATTATTAGCAGTATTTCCCAAAGCTCATAGATTGCCCTGTTATAAAGTTTAAACTTTTAGACACACTATTACGCCACCTTTCTATTTTTCTGATCTTTTTTTAACCTGTGATATTTAAAATAAGAGAAACCATTAAGCCAAACCAACTGTGATGTTCCTTTTAAGATTTCTTATTTCATTAGATTTTTAAGCGGTAAGGATAATCTGGCTCAGTGATAAGCTGGAGATATATTAATAACCAGATTTTTCTCTCAGTTTGAGCAAAGCATCACATATAAAACATCTTCATGTGTGAAGCATATTTTCTGGTAAACCAGCAGTGCATGTGTCACACTGGACTCTTATGCCAAGTCCTTGCCTTTGCAGAGCTTGAAGTATATCTCTTTGAAAGAAGAAGCCAAAAACGTGGCCTCTGAATGTAACAATTCCAAAAGGCCACAGAACAGATTTCCTTAGGCCAAAATATAGTTTGAGGTAAATTAACTGATCTAACAGTTAACCAAGACCAAAGGAAAGGCTTAATCTTTTCTCGTTGAAAGGTAAAGGACAGAGGGGACTTTCCTCCCTTTCTATCCTGTAAGCTTTGTTGTTCCTTGCTTTCCAGTGGCCACATTTGCTTGAACGCATTAAAACCTCACAATGTAAGGGTTAACTACACTCTCCTACTTTTCCAAAAGCTCCAGTACGAGGCACAATTTAAGAGTTATACCAAATATCAATAAGATTTGCTATTAGAAAGAAAACAACAAAACCCAAACCCTGACATTATGAAAGAAGCAAAGTCATCCTAAAAATGGATAGATATTAATTGTGTCAAATTTACAATGTCTAAATTTTCTTATTAGGAATCTTTTAAAATTAACTTTTAATCAGTGGAATGATGTCAGTTCCCACTAGAGTTATTGGACCACTGAGAAGCTGAATAAGAAATGAAAGAGGCCATTCATCTCAGTAACTTACAATTTGTTTCTGGTCTTGTATTGGGGATATTAGCCAATGTAATTAGACATTAGACAGACTCTGCCTTTAAGTAGGGCATATAAGCTATGGAAATGAAGAACTAGAAAAGAGTGTCAAAAATATTAGTAAAGAATGTCAAAAATATTAAGTACCAGGATGGAATTTAATTAAAGTATTAGAGGAACTTGAAAAAGAATAAATTCTTTCTAAACAACAATGCTTACAATTCTAAATGTTAGAGGGACAATATTTAATACGTATGTATAATTACTGCTTAAGTAGGAAAAGTGGTAAGTGCATTTGGGGGAAGGACCACTGGAGGGTTCTTCCAAAAACAAGCAAACAAGTATTTCTGTTGCTCTCTTGTTTAAGGCTAATAATTAATCAGTTAAGAATTCAAGTAAATACTGTGCAAAGATGAGCCGAGGAAGGGTGCACTCCCTTCCCATTCTCATCTAAAAAATACTAATATGACTTTTTAGAAAACTTATTTTATGTCCTAGCCACCTGACCCAAACCATGTAATTTTTCCCTTTCCGAGAAGTTTGTCCTCTACTTCTTGATCTCATACCTACCACCTCTCCCTTCTTAAAGTTACTGGAAGATGTATTAATTAATACTACTCACTTTCACATATACATTTCTTGCCCTGATCGGAAAGCAATAGAAGAGTAAGAAGATGATGTGGGGATACGACTTCCTACCAGCTGAGTGGCCTTAAATAATTTCCTTCATAATAATATGTGATACTTAGAGGCCACACTGTATGCCAGGCAGTCTCCATGTATTACGTCTTGTTTATTTAATCTTCGTAAGAGTTCTATGGAACTGGCCTTACTGTCCTTTCAGTAGATTAGGAAACTGAGACTTAAGGAGGTTAGGAAACTTTCCCAAGGTTCTAGCTTTAAGTGGTACAGCCCAGATAAGAACCCAGGTAGCCTAATCCTACGTGCATGAGCTATTATTAACCACCTACCAGACTTCTCTCCCATGCTAACCACCTTTGACCTTTAGTTTCCCCTTCTTTAAATTAGGACAGTGATACCTCTGGAGGCAAATTCTTGTGAGAGCTAAAATAACATGTAGAGTACCTGGGTTAATGCCTGAATCTATAACTGACAGTCAAGGATGGACAAAATGGGCTATATGCTGAGTTTACACACACTCAAACCATTATGGAAGCTGACACTAAAAGTTGCAATCTAGGGACAATTGAGTGTTTTCTCATCTCTAAACAGGGAGCATTAATGAGCGTCTAACAGGACTGCTATGATGACTGTGCAACATAAATCTGAAGGTACTTCAAACTTGTAAATTGTTATAAAAATTATATGCATCATCAGATACAGAAGACACTTTGATCATTACACCCCTGGAATTAAATACATGGCAGTTCACAGAAACAAAATATAATATCTGAAAATAAGTCATAAGCCAGTTCTGCTACTCGGGAAACACTGGCCGTACTGAAGAGACATTTGTTAAAATCCTCCCCACATGTGCAGGAACGGCACACCTTCCAAAGTGTAAGGCTCTGACTTTCAGCATTCAGCGGAATATTAAGATAATAAACCATCAAAATATTTCAACTATTTGCTCTTTGAGAGATCAGTGATGCAATTAAACAAGAATTTAATTGATAATGGAATTTAGAGTGTAAATATATCACAGCATTATCAGATTGTAATATTATCCATATAATTATTACCAACTGATTCAAGTCTTTTTCCCATATTCAAGTCTTATTCCCACATGCATTTAATCATATCCATGTTTCCTAATATGGCACTTTACTTCCTTATACATCTAAGCTCAGATTTCCATTTCTCCCTACAAGCCAAATATTTCCTCTTCAAAAAACATGCTCTGAATTTCTCAAGAGAGAAATTCACGGGGAACAAATATTGGCATGTGGTAAACTATACTTTGTATTTTGTTACTGTAGTTGGCATTTAAACAGAAAGAAGACATGGTAAATGTCTTGCCAGGAAAAAGCATAAGCCTTGTTAATCTCTAATTGTTGATATAAATTCAATTTATTCTACAATAATGTTTATCATCCCCCTTTATTACTTCTCGTAGGAAAAGTTAAATTCCACTCCCACATTCATATAAGCATAAAAGAGAGCAAAGCTATCACCTACTATGAAATTCAACCAACTACATCTATAAATTAGAAAGGGTTAAGTAATGTAGTTATTTCTTGAATATAAGGAAAATATCCCCAGTCTAGTATGGATGAGTATTTACAAATAATTTCCAATCATACATAAGTGTACCTAAAATGAGGTCCTTCTAGATCCTTTGAGGTAATAGATAGATATTTCACTTCAGTAACATCAAGTTTGTTTGTTTGTTTGTTTGGTAAATGAAGCATTGTCCTTTTGAGGGAAAGAAGGAAGAAACTGAAAATTTTTTTTAAAAACTATGTTATATTCTAAGTTTTCAGGAGACAAAGATTAGGTATACACAGTTCAGTGCTTTCTGATGATATTCACAGATTTTTTTCTGCCTAGAAGTTTCTACTCACCAAGGCAGAATAAAAGTAAATTCA